CCAGGGTTTTTATCTTTTGAGTTATATTGCAAAATTAATACTGCTATCCTCATTTCATATGCCTTTTAAAATGCTATCTTTTTTCAAAGGATAAATAACAAAATTTTCTCTCGTGCAGTGCCCTTTGTCAAATGTGAACCAATAACGTCCATAGTGGAAGTCAAAAGTTAATGCGTAGTCTGTTTTGTGGGAAACCTGAAAAAAATAACTTTCCATGAAACTTATCCTCTATGATAAAATAACATGGTGCAGCTTTAATAGACAAAATCTAACCTTAACTTCTTAAGTTCAACTTCATTCCATGCTTCTCAGCCTCTTGTTACAATTAATGCCCATTAACTGGTAACTTCTGAAACTAACCGAGAGGCTTTTGGAATACTGTATTTAATCTCTGCCCTACAGCACAAGCAGCGCTGCCCTGTGCTGGAGGACCAGTTGGTGGATCTGGTGGTTTACGCTATGGAGCGATCCGAGACTGAAGAGAAGTTTGATGATGGGGGAACGAGCCAACTCCTGTGGCAGCATCTCTCGAGTCAGCTCATTTTCTTTGTGCTTTTCCAGTTTGCAAGTTTTCCACATATGGTTCTTTCTCTTCATCAGAAGGTGTGTACTGAATCTTTTGCTCAGAGCAACTTCACCTCTGATTAGTATGTTTTAGGCTGATATGGGCATTCCCCAGTGATTGCAGCACTGGCAGAAAATTTGAGCCCTAATTTCTGTCCTGGTCAATGTTTTTATAGTTTCTTAACATGTCACTGTAAGAAGTGGATTAAGTCATTCGCTCCTCATATTCTCAGTACAGCACCAGGGGATACAAGATGAAAAGCCACTGTAACACCCTCAAGGAGCACCTTACTGGAGGGGAAGATATGTATATAAACAACTTGATTATAATTTGATGGTTGTCATAATGGAAACATGTTTCCCTGCAATAGGAATGAAAGGAAATGGTCCCTATCAAAGACATCAGGAATGGCTTTATCAAAGAGATCTTTAAGCTAACACTTGAAGGATGAATAGAAATTTCCTAAGAGAAAAAGATAGGAAAGTGTTTCCCTAGCAACAAGAGCATGATTTGAAAAGGGATATGGGTGTATGAGAACTGGAAGGGAAAATATAAAGGGGAAAATTTAAAAGGGAAAGTGTTGGTGAGATCAGGAAGGCAAGAAGGCAAGGGCAGACATGGAGAACATTATATGGCCATGTGCCTGTTCTAAGGAGTTTAGATTTTCTTTTGGAGGCAATGAGGAAGGGAATGGCATCATCATATATAGTTGGAAAAATTAGTGCTAATGGCCGCATGGAGGAAGATGGTGGTGTAGAGATGTATGGGGGCAAAACCAGAGGCAAAGAGACCCTGCAGTGAGCTAGGGGAAAGATGCTGAGGGCCTAAACCAGGACAGAGAGGGGGAGCCAGAGATCAGGTACACTGAGGAGGGTAAATAGGACCAGGTGACTGACAGCTAACAGAGGGTGGGACTAGAGTCTAGGCTCGCTCACTGGTTTCTACTCTGGTATTGAATGAAAGGGTAGGGCAGTGAATCCAAAAAAGGGAAGACAAGTGGAAGAGTAAATTTGTGGGAAAAGTTGGTTTTCACCATAGGTTTTAGAAATGTTGAATGGGAATAGAATAAATGTTGTTATACCTATAACATCTCTATAGCATAAATTATTTTGGGAAAAATTTTTTATAAAAGTTGTTAAAATTCTTTTAACCACCATCCCTCCCCCACCACCACTGGTTTCTGCTATAATCTATAGGAGACTGGGAAAAGTGTTTTATGATAACCAGTCCTTGATAATTTGAAATCAAAAAAAAAATCCTTTTTCTTATAATAACATATACCACATATTTTGGTGAGATATTTTTAATAAGAATTATCC